CTGCAACCTCAGAACTCTAATATGAAGCCAGAGGAGGCAGGACCATTGAATACTTATGGTTTAAGTTTGTTTTGAAGAAACAGAAATTACTGACATCCAAAAATTTACAGCTTCTCGCTCAGTTCTTTACAGTTTCTCTTCCTTTTAGCTGATTTCTGCAGTTGTCCCAGGCAGTCCTCATTTCACTGCCAAGTACTGCTGCTAGGAGAGATTTTGCTTATTCAGGATGATAGTAGGATGTTTAAATCATAACATTAGGTGATACAACTCAGCATGCCTATGTTGAAAACTGAACATCATTACATTGAGAATAGCAGATTCCAACAAAAACTCCCAGTAGATATTTTCCTGATGAAGGTTGCACTCTGACTCCCACACACTGCAGAGAAAATGAGCATGGCAGGGAACATCTCCACGGGCAGCAGTGAAGGAGGATCCCAAACAAGAGCATCCTCAGGAGACCGTCACAGGAGGACATGTACAAAAGAAATAATTAATGACAATAAAAGTAGTTCATGGCAAGCACAGTGTGGAAGACTGCTTAACTTTCTGTAATTAGAAAATAGAGGATTACAAATTTTCTGCACTTTTCAAGGATGAGAAGCTGGAGTTATTCAGGGTCATGGACTCGCCCTGGCAGTGAGCCTTGTACTGAAAACTGCCCAAAAGGTTGTTTTCGAAAGACCAGACTCCCTTTCAGTCTTGCCTTCACAACTAGGAGGTAAAAACCTCAAATTCATTAATTTTCATCCACCGTATTTTTACTTAGCAGAAATAGATTAGAAAATGGCAGATTTTCCCCAAAAGCTAAACTTCCAAGTAGAGCAACATAAAATAACAGAACAGCAGTCAGTCAAAACAGACAGAAAATACTGAGCCTGTGAATTGCAAACTATGCGTGCTGTACCATGAAAGTCTGGACCTAAATATCTATTTTTAGAAATATTTTCTCTCTCATAATTTAGCCAAATAACGGTCACTTCCTCTTGCTGCTGCCAGAAGAATCTTTTAAAACAATCCATTCATTGAATTTACCTCAGATAAAGAGGGATTTATAAAATATTTCTGCAAAAGCTTGCCAAATTGTTATTATTTAGTAGTAGACACTGTGGTGGAGTAGTATGTTGGTTGATAGAGATGTCAGTGTAAAAATAAATTATTTTTAGATAGATTCAGAAAAAGAAGCTTCTGGGATGATGTTCATTGAACCTCCAGTAAAATAGGAAGAGCCTTAGCACTTTTCAAGGAAACAGTGCATCTGATACCTGAAAAAAAATCCTATTGAAAATATTCTGAAATTTCCTAGTTTTTATTACTTGAAAATACACTATCGTGATGAGTAAAATACAAATATGCAGATATGAAAGAAGAAGTGACCAGAAACCAAATAAGTAAGTTACCCTTTTGTCTCCTTGACCTTTGACTCACTTGGATCAAAACTGGACAAAGATTGCAGTTGCTAAGTATATTACCACGAGATGTAGGTAGTGGCTTTTAGTCAGGCTGCAAAAATAACCCCTTCCCCCAGCAGCAGTACAACTTAACTTTTTCTTCTGGCAGAAAGATAAAGAGGGAACTGACGTCTCTTGGAATATATAAACACTCCCTCACAGCTCACAGCCTATGTGCTTGGTGGGGAGGTTTAGCTGCTTGTCTGCTGGTAACTTGATGCAAGTCATGTGCTAAGTACTTGTATGTGCAGCTGAAAAATCAGTCGTCCTTACCCAAGGTGAGTCATATGATACAACATTTGAAATCAGAGGGTTTTCCTCAGGAATACTTTTAAGGTCAGTTGGGTGGAAGCTCTTGAAAATATTTATTTTTAATGCAAAATAAAATGGAAGGATTTTGCAAAGCTGCTTGCAAGGAAAAGTGACATTTTACATGGATTAGTGGAATGCTTTGTTACTATGATAACAGTAGTGTTTTATCTTCATTATGGCTGGCTTTCTCAATTGCATTCTGTCCTCTGATATCTAATATTCTTGAAAATACAGTACTGGAGTCATGTGAATTTATAAGAAATGCATATTTTAAGGTATTTTTTAGCATTTGATATTGCAGTTAAAAAGCTTGAAACTATAACTTCAAAGAACATCAAATATATAATGAGATTATTTGTATGTTATAAGGACTTGCTTTAAGCTGACATGTACAGAAGTCTAAGTTAAATAGTTAAGAAATAATTCAATAGCATTTTGCATCTCTCCTTCTATTCAGTTGGTTATAAACTGTCTTTCAGAGATTTGAATGGACCAGTTTCATAATATTATTAATCCTGTAGTCAAATCTGAGTCTAAATGATACAATAGCCTCAGAGAACATAGCTAATTTTGTTATGGTATTTTCTATTCTGCTTAAGGTATATAATTTTCACTTGAATATAAATTCCCAAAAGTGCATTCTTATTGGGAATTTCTACCTTAATCTTCATATTTTAAATTCAGTTCTGATAGATGAGAATGGCGTGTTGGCTTCTATATGAATTGAGTGTTATGGTGTGAGTGCTCTTCACTCACAGTTGTGTAATTTATAATTTGAATTGCATAAATTGGGATGTCTAGACTGCTATTACATTGTAATTGGTGGGAGAAGGGTGAATATTTTTCAACTTGCAGAAGCTTGGAATAGATACAAGTTGTTAGCAGTCGCTTTTTGTTTATTGCTAGTGCTCATGAGAGATGCCTAGTCTGCCTAAAACAAAATAAAATAATTGGAAAAGCTTGTAGAAACTTAGGTGAAAATGTATTTTGGTGGAAATTGTATTAATGTGGAATTTTAAAATCTTCAGTATGTAAGTCAAGAAAAAAAGTCTGATGGTATCGAAAAGACTGACTTAAACATTTCTGAAAGAACTAATTTTCATTTTACATTTTAAAATGTGTGTTTCCACACTGGAAAAAATCACTACTGGGGGAAAAATCAAGTGGAGTAAGGTACTTTTCAGAATTTTATTTAATTGAGATGTCTTCTTTTCCTTAGATTTGCTACAATATGTAACAGCAATCAGATTTTCGAATCCCCACACCACCTGCACAATTAGTTGCCTTTTACTGTTCTGTCTTTGCCAAACTAAAGATCTTGATCTCAGCCTAGCTACAGTGATACAAGATTTGGTCCTAGTGATTTTCACTTAAACGTTCTTCAAGTCTAATGAATTTCTGACTTAAATATGTTTTGAAATTTGTGGTTAAACACATCCACTACATCAAAAAGCTTTTAATGGCTTTGGAGTGGGAACCACATGGAGTGAGCTGGTGGCAGGTGGACAGACGGGCTGACTTTTATAGTAGGGATAGTAGGGATACTTTTCCAAGACTGCAAACAGTCTTTTGGTCATTCTGCTTGAAAATATCCAAGGGGAAATTCTTAACATATCAAATGATCTCAAATGTACAGAAATAGACCTTGTTAAAGGCAAGGGAGCCATAACCTGCTGCTAGCACAAGAGCAGGCAAAAGGTGGGTTCCCAATGCACTTAAAGGGAGGTGTCTGGTGCCAGGTAGAGATGTGACATAATTCTGAGTGTGGGATGACACATCACTGGCCCGCTGACCATGGTACCTAATCTTTTATGGCTTGTTGTTCGTCCTTAATGTGATAAAAGGATCATGTAAGTGATTAAGAAAACAGAATACATACTGTTCCTATACCTGCTTTGCTGTTTAGAAATTCATCAAGTCCTTCTGGTTCTTTAGTCCTCATGAGCAAACTGGTTGAGTTGCTCTTCCACTTCATCTTTCTGTTTTTCTTCTCTCTGTGTTTGACCTTGAATGTGTAATTAACTCTTAACTAATATCTGCTTTAAAATTTATTTAGGGATGCTTACAATATGTTAACAAACAGAAATTAGTAAGAATAAAAAGGACATGGACAGTGACATCTAAAACAGAGAAGGGCAGATTTTCTGTTAACTGGAGGTCTAAAGCAAATAACCAACTTGCAAATTCTGTGTATGTAATTAATTAATAATAATAAAGAATAAAATTTCAAATAAGGCAGCTCTTTTTCTTAATTATTCATAAACAATAAAGAAATCAGAAGAAAATATCACTGGGACCTTACATTTTACCACTTCAGCACTACTGTCATTCTGATTTTCTTTACAACCCCTTTCCTTAGGGGCCAGTTTGTAAGATATATTAACATATATTACTAGCAACTCTTATTTTCCAATTGCTAGTCACAGACATTTTTCTTCTGAGGCTGAAAAATCTTGAAATTTTTTGTATTACCTCTCTCAGAGATCAAGCTCTTGTTTTGATTTAAAAACTCTGATGTTCTATAAGGCAATTGGGATTGATGAAATCAGCAAGAATGCAGCTCTAAAAGAAAAATCCAGTTGTGCCTTTGTCATGAAGTTGCTGAAACAGAGTTCTACCTGTTCAGTAGAGGACAGTGGGCTGATGGAGGCTTGGAAAGAGGCTTCCTGTGGGTGCCTCCCTTTAGAGGCTGCCTTTCCCAATGAGATGCTGATGGGCATTGAGGACTTGCTCACTGGCAAATGACAGAAGGAGGCAGGGAAGCTCCTGCAGGGGAGTGCAACTCCTGCTTTTTCCTGAAGTGGGAGCCATGGGCATGGCAGGATGAGATAAAAGAGCAGAGCTATCTACAGCCTCCTCCTTTGGCAGAGGGAGATTAAAGATGTCTACATCAGGAAGAGTGTCATACGAATAATAACCATGTCGGCTTGCCCTAATGCAACAGAGCCAAAAAAAACCAAACCAAAACAACCAAACCAAAAGCAACCAACCACTAATGAAAAAACTTACCAGTTTGTTTAGGCAACTGGAATGAAGAAAGATAATCATACGTAATAAGCTATTAACTTGCCAAAGTACCTGCAACGTTTTTGTTGTTTTTTTTTTTTTTTGCCAGCGGCTGGCCGCTGGCTGGCTGTTTTTGACTTGTTATCTTCCTACCTGCTTCATGTCATGTACTATGTACTTTGTACTTTGAGCTTCGGAATCTGATTTTTGTACACTTTCTGCTTATATTAGCAGCTTCTCTGAGGAAGATCAGTGAGTCTGTTGGGACCAAGAAGTGAGGAAAAGCCATCAAGCCTTACAGCAAAGATATCTGTACACTGCTTACCTGTACCCTAACAAAAAAGAGGAATGGCCTGTAACAGAAACTGTGGGCTCATCACTGGGGCCATCATTGGTGGCGTGCTGGCTATCTTCGGAGGAGTTCTAATACCAGTTGGAAATAATCTTATAGGCAAAGCAGTACAAAAGGTACTTTTTTTTTTTTCACCTCCTCAGGACATAGAATTTATGGTTATTGAGTAGTCATTAGTTTTAAATCTTATGTTCTGATTGTTTCTTACCTTTTTTTTCCCCTTTGTTAAACATAGTTTTTATAAATTAGGTGCTCCAAACTTCCCTGGAAAAATATGCGATAGAAAATTTTTAATAATATATTAATTATATTTCCACATTAACTTGTTTGCTCTCTCTTGTGCTTCACATTAGAAGCTAATATATTGTGTTTTCAGAATGCAATTTAGAAGTAAGTGGGCTTTATTTCTATTGTATTTATGATTGTTTCTTGTTTCTTTATATTTTTCTCTTTTTTTTAAATTTTATTTTTATACTTTGGTTCTCACTCCATGCGGTTACATTTATATACTGCAAATAATCTAAACAGTCTTCTGCTGCAGAATCTAATCCTACGCTTCATGTATTCAGCTCACATTCTGTGACTGTAGGATCCAAGCTGATGTTCTCCACATGACTGGAGGAGCTAATAAAATGCATCTCTCTGTTTTGAGTGTGAAGATTGATCAAAGTAGAATGTTTTAGACCTGGCAGGCATGGGTTTTTTTGCTGTTTCTTAGATTATTTTCTGTCCCTAAAATCTAGATTTTATGTAAAGAAAATAGAAAAAAATTAATTTGTTATATACTTGATGGAAAATGTACACATTGGAGGTTTAAATCATGGAGTAATCTGGAATGGAACCCCTGGTGTGTCCACTATGGTGACACGAAATCTCCTTGGGGTCACTGCAGCCAAGGCTGGTTCTCTGATGGTTAAAAATCTAAAAATCATAAGATCTTTGGCTGTTGCTTAGTGCTGCTATTGATCTGCTGTGGTGTTGAAGACTGAGGACATCTTGAAGACACTCATCCAAAGGCTCTTCTGGAAGAGTAGCCTTAGCTAAATAGTGTTGAAGTCAATTGAGGAGGTTGATATATGAACTATAAGGAATGTTGCACTGTCTGTTGAGGCCCTGGATATATCATAGTTTCAATAATAAAAAAAAAAAGTAAAAAAATTGGCTCCCGTATAGCATCTTAATTTTTCAGGTAACCCAATGAAAACCAACCTGTTGAGGAATTTTCCAATTGTTATTGTATTTTTCAAGAATTTAAAGAATTTTAAAGTTTATAGAGAATAAAAAAAATCTCACTAGATAATGCCTCAACTGCCTTGCAACATTTTACAAAATAGTCACACTCTCTATATTTGCAAACTATTTTAATTTTTTTGCCATATTGAGAAAATGACAGGTTTTCTAGAAAGCACATAAATTAAAGAATATATATCTCTTTATATTGAATACTTACTTAAATTAATCCCGAGTGTTGTCTCATATCATTCGGTATTTTGAAAGCAAATTACAAATACTGGCAGTGTTATGTGTTCATCCATTTGCTAACAGTAATGAACTAGTTATACAGCATGGTTTGCAAATGTCTACATACTCAATTATGCATGAGTCTGTAGTGGTAAAGCAGTAGAGGGAGTAATTTTCCCCTCAACCACTTTTTAATTTTCTGCATTGTGATCATGTTTCAGATGCTTGTTTGATGTATATATAAAAAATTGTACCACTAATCACATAAAACATAAAAGAGTAAATTTGCAGAGGCTTTATTTACTTAAGTAAATGGATGTTTTTTACCTAAGCACAAGTCATACCAGACTATTGTTTTTCTGTTGTGGGCTGACTATTCAGTGACACCTTGAGACAATTCCATTTCAGATAAGATGGGCCCAGATACAACAGCTGAAATATGTGATCAGTTCAGCAGATGCTCCAGAGGGACTTTAATTAATTCAGTTCAGCAGATGCTCCAGAGGGACTTTAATTAATTCTGATTTTGCTGTGTTGATGAAAGGTCTGTTAATTAAAAAAAAAAAAAAATTGTTCATTGCAGTTATGTTTAAGATAAATATAGAGCTGACTGCAAAGAAAACAGATCTTCTAAGGAAAAAGTGCTCAAAATGCTTTTTTTCTTTTTTTCTGAAATATTTCGCTTTTGGAAATGTAGTTTTTATGGAAAATCTTTAGTAGAAACAGATCCGTTTCCATGGCAAATTTGTTTGCAATTTCTCGAGAATAGTGACCATAGGACAGGAAAAAAACAGAGTGAGAAGTTCTTTCAGATATAGCCTGTAAGCATTTATATGGAGTAGCCTGCCTAGGCAAGTGTTGTAGTCACCAGCCCTGGAAGTGCTTAAAAAATTAGTAGATATGGCACTACAAGATATGGTTTAGTGAGCATTGCAGTCAAAGTTTGGACTGGGTGATCTTGGAGGTCTTTTCCAACCTTACTGAACCTATGTTATTTCTGTTTGTACTCATATGAGGAAAAATCTAAAAGAAGTTCTCACCCACTGGGTGAAAACAAAACTCAGCATGCCATATTTCTAATAAAAGGTAGAAACTATTTCAAACACAACTAGTAAAGGCAAAATCTTGTCTTAAATTCTTCACAGTCAATGCTTGAAAAAAGACCCCTACTTTTCCCTCTGGCTATCCTATCTCAGAAAAAAATCCAGTCTTTTGCATGGTAGTAGGACTACTATATTTTTGGAGGAAATGAAAGTTGCTATCAAATGTTATTGTTGGATTAGCATAACAAATGTTGAGTAGTTTTAGGACACTCTGTACTATACCAAGACAAATTGTCCTAAATTAACTTATCAAGGTTTAGTCAAATAACATCACTGTCAATTTACTCTAAAGCAAGCTGAATCAAGTCCAGATGAATTTCTTAGCATCTCCTAATGAATTGGAGGAACTTTAATTTCAAAAATCAATGCAATAAATAGGGGTTTTTTATCCTTTTCTGCTAGCACCAAAGTCTAACCATGCTTCTCTTAAACTTCCCTTAAGCACACATCTTCACACTTTACCAGCCTCATTTCTCCTTTATTGCAGTCATTGAGAGATTAGCTAGAGTAAACAGAGTAGGGCATATTTTGTTGGCAGGCTTCAAACTGTTTTTGAAGCAAAGAAAGCGTCTTCAAGTGTACAGAGAATCTCAGGTGTCCTTAGGAATTGGACAGAGACTCTGAGTCTATGGGCTGTCATCTCCTGGCAGGGGGGTGCTGTGCAGGAGTGGACAACCCAAACAAAGTCCATGTAACAGAAAACGTCCAGATGTCACATCTTCATTTGTTCCAATTTATTATCAGACATCTGTGCTTCAAATCAGAACATGTGGCTATGTTTTCTAGCCCCAGAATGCTTTACTTCTGTCTCCAAAAATTTAGACAAGATGTTTCAACTCCAACCTCCAACAGATGACAAAAACCAAAAAAACCCCTCTATGTTCTGAATAGTTTTCAAGGGTCTTTAAAGAAACTGTCACTTGAAGACCACACTCAAAATGGCACCAGCAGTAGCAGCAGCAGCAGCACCTTGGCAGGGATCCACAGGAGATTAGTGCTAAACTATTTCAGCTCTGATACTATTCTTGGAAAGGTGCCTTTGATATCAGGACCAAAGGGCAAAAGCTCTGTCCTAATTTCTACAAACACTGAATTTATCCAGAAGGGAGAGAATCTTCCATCAAGGTCTTAGGGATTTAGAAAATTGACCTTAGTAGAGTTATGAGTGAAACATGGAAGTTTCAGAGTTCACAACAAAAAAATACTTTGCTTGAGATTATAAAAATACAACTTTTAAACTGACCCTACACATTTCAGTTGGACATTATCATGCCTGTTGTCATTAATACTAGATATAATCATGTCTAAAATAATAAAAAAAAAAAAGGTGAAAGGAAAGGAGCATTCAAAACAACAAATCAGAAAGATTTTATCTGATATTGTTGGACATGGCTCAATTTCTGCTTTTTGCCTTTCCCTCCTTAAAACAATATTATCTTTTTAGGCAATAATCCCATCGCTTCAGTTATGGGGTTATTTTCCCTAGCTAGGATTAACCACTCAAAGCTATTGGTAGTGGATTCATTTGCTAGAAAAATCTTTATCACCATTTCTCTAAGTTCTTCTGCTTTCTACCTGAGTGTATATGCTCAGGAGCTGAATAGAAGTCACATAATAATACTTAATATATTGAAGTCCTGATGAATTGGTAATACAGAATAGTGAATGATTTGCCACAATGCTTCAGTGCTGTACTGGGTTAGTCTCAGTTATTTTTAGAAATAAGGCCTTCAGTTTTAGCTATTAATATGTTTATTCATTTGTCTCTCCATATCTGTGATCTGTGATTGGCCTCAGCTACTGGAGGTATTGGAAACACCTCTAATTTAAAACTGTGTTTATGACAGTCATATGCCACTTCTTTCTATAAAGTAACGAGGCCAAAGCAACTGCTGTCTCTCAGCAGAACACAAATGATCTAACAACACATATTCCCACATTATCAATGTTAAGCTTTTTTGAGTCCCAGAATTCTTTATTATCAAGGACTAAAAAGGAATAAAAGTTATGATCTAACAAAGCCTGAGTAGAAAGGCTAATAATAAGCTAATAATAATTTAAAAGTAATGAGTTATTCTTCCAGATGCAAAATGGGAGAAGATTATTTTCTTTTCTTTGAACTTTACTTTTTAAGTTTTACAGAATTGTATTTTTTGTTTTTTTCCAATTTATGTCGGCAGCCCAACATACACAATTTTGTTACAGTCCAAAGTATTCGTGTCACTTCTCAGTTCCCTGAAAATGGCATATTTTGTCCATCTGGCCAGATTCTTTGTCAAGACAGAAACTTTGTCTTAAATTTTGTGTTTCTTCATCAGAAATCACGATGGCTTAAATTCCTTTAACCAACGAAGTACAGCAAGCTTCTATTGCTGACTGCTCAGCATTTCTTGAATTTATGTATTATTAGCTGACCCACCTCTAGTCGGGGGGAAAATTGTCAGAAACAAAAAGGGTCAAAGTTCCCACTGATTTCACTCAACCTTGCACAGCTGGGTCATGGCATGAACTTGGCTCTGTAGCAATCACATTTGTGTGGCTGCTTCTGCTGACTAACCAACTATTGTGTGAGATACTAGAGCTGCTGCAGATGGACTAGGGAGTTGAGAAGTGTTTTGTACTATCAGTTGCATATTAGCTTCCGAAATTACTCCTCCTCTCATACCATCTCAAAGCACAGAAGTTTAAATAGGGAAATATGTAACCGTCCAGCCAGAGAGAGGGGTAATGTCTAGGGATGGATCACCAGTGATGAAACAGCAAAAACAGAGGGCCTGCTAGTGTAAGGGTATTAGTTTATTAAATGAAGACATGAAAAAGAGCTCTAGATTTTATTCCACTTTAACCCACCATTTGCACTCTCAAAGTATGTGACAGAGAATCGTACACACCTCTTTTGTGGGAGAAATATCGTTAACAATAATGGCTAAATGCCACCAAAAATAATGGTCTTGTTATCTTCCTTCCCCCTCCTTCTTTTGTCCTGCTGCTTCCCATGTTCTAATGCTGATTCTCTCTACACAGACCCCTGAGCCAAATGTCTAACTGGTAGAAAGGTAACACAGAAAGCAAAAAAATACGGGAATTATGTTCCTCCTGTCTGGCAGGCAGAAACAGCTCCTTGAGGCATAAGAGCTGATGCAAAGGAAGAGAGTGTCACATAGATCAGGAACTGTGGGAGCCAGTTGCCCCTTTGGCTGAAGAACTGCCAGATTAGACCAGTGTACCCCTGAAGCATTCCCCAAGAGTGCCCACAGTGACATTAGCTCACCGTGAATGGTGGGCTGCAAATCCACACTTCGTGACCTGGCAGAGTGCAGTGGCAGAGCTGGCATAGCATCTGCACTACTCTAACCCCTGGCAAAGAGCTACAGGGGAAGGGGAATGGATGGAGGGGAAGAATTTTAAATGTAAGTAACACCAACTTAAGATCTGTTAGATCTATTGTTACAAGGTTGAAATTTCTCTATTCTCTGTTCCTGGGTATTGTCTTCCAGAGAGATTAGTTTTTGTTCTTGACCATGTATGTGCTAGAAATTTAACCATTTGCCCTCTCCAGTTACACAGTGGGAGATCAAATCCTGGCATCAGTCCCCATGTCAGGATACCATCGTGTTTCTCCCAGATTCTTGAAGAAATTCTCTGTGAAAACTGGGAATGCGATTTCTGACCCATATAAGCTTTTCCCTTTTCATCCAGGAGGTAGTGTGCCCCATGCTGGGCCACAGCTGGGATAGTCTTTGACCCTGTGAGGATTGAGTGCAAGGCCTCAGGATGATAGCACGCTTAGGCAGCAAGGTTTCCTTCCCCTCTCACACAAATGCACATAAATTATAGCAGATATTTAGGCAGCAAGCCCACTGCTTTACACCACCAGCAAGGTCTTTGCAACTCCACAATAAAAAGGCTTTTCACAGACAGAATCCTGACTGTGTTACAAGTTCTTCAAGATGAGATATTTGTTTCTAACTGCAGGAGCTGATAACTGGTGGTATCTATTTTATTCACCTGGTGATTGATTAGTGAACTTTAGAGGCACAAACGAAAACTAGAAAAAAAAAATCTAGCAACTCTTGATTTAAAATGTCTTTCCTTGCTCTCTAGAGAATTAGAGCCTTTTAATTTCTGGACTTTATGAGTTGTGCCAATTAGCTAACACATCTTCAATCACTCTAATACAGAAAAGCACCGTTTTATGTTGGACACACACAGTCTAGATTTTTCTTCTTATTGAAAAACACTTCTATGAATTATTACCACCAAAGGGAAAAATTACATTATCCCTAGTCTTTGGGAAAATCCTATAGAAGAGGCCTGATAGAGACCAGACAAAGCAGGCATTCCCCTGATTATACAGGTAGCCATACTTTAAAACTCTCCTTCTCACTTTACAGTCCTGAAGCCTGAATTGCCATTTGCCATATGGCTGAGCATATCACTTAAAGCTCTTTATTCCTCTAGAAGGGTTCTTGATGTACTGTTTTGTCCCTTCTTGCTTAGATCTGGGAAAATTTCCTAATAAAATGTTATCAGAATTAGAGATTTCTTAGAAAGTCTCAGTTTTGGTGACAAAAATTTTCTGTCAAAGAAACAGTCCTTCAAGAGTACTATGTGATTTCTCTGAGTGCAAAATTATCTTGAGCCTGAAAAATGCTCAGACATAACTGTCATTTTCTCCCTTGGGCTATTTGCAATGTATGAAAAGTAGTTTATGGATTCTGTACGGAGTCAGTCATGAAAGATTTTCCTTTTATAAATAATCATTTGTTTTGGCAAGTGTTTGAGAGCTGAGGGAATGCCCTACCACAGCAATAGGAAATCTTTGCTACCAGCCACATCAGCAATTGTATCAGCTTTGTGGTAATTTGTTTTAGGGAGGGTCACTTTTGCTCTCACTGAGCAGGAATGTCCAGCTGCCTCCAGGGGTTGGCCAACTGGGCTGTACATCTCATACTAATGATAAAATGATGTTCCTTTTCTGTTTGCTTTGAAATCTTCAGCAATCATCTAAAAAGTAAATACAACTTCTCACTTGTTTCTTTTGTGGATAATTTTAACTGTTTCTTGTACTTTCAGGACGCTGTCATTGTCAATGGTACCACTGCATTTCAAAATTGGCTTGTGCCAGGAAGCTCCGTTTACAGGGAATTTTGGATTTTCCATGTGTTAAATCCTTCAGAGGTTATGGACGAGGGGGCTCAACCAAAATTTGAACAACGAGGACCTTACACATACAGGTATGAAAAGACCCTTTGATATGTGACATATCTACTGACATAAAATTTACTTTTGAAATTCCAGCATCACACTTTTATTAGACATAACAAAAATGCCTAAATTGCAGCTACACATATCAATCCCAAACATTTTCTGGATTATGTCTAACATAAGGAAAACACAAATAGAAATAGGTAATTGGTGAAGCTGCTTGTACTTGTGAAAAACAATAATTCATTAGCTACAGCATCACAGAGACAGTTGTGATACTTCCTGTTCAGGTTTATAACAGGAGAAAATGTGCCAGATGCCCTAAAACCAAGAGATTATCATATCATCCATGCATCACTAATACTTATTTTAATAATGTGGGATTTTTTTAAAATGTGATGTTGAAAGTTGATGCTTCCTGAGTTATTATGCCAAATATTTGCTATCACTGGCACCCTTGTTAGGAAGTTGCTTTCTTATGATGATAGGATATTTCTTTCTCGATAACTTTAGGGATGTATATTATATTTACAAGACAGCTTTCCATTTCAGCATCTTCAGCCAAACTGCCTTGATCCCTAAAAGCTTATTTATTTCTCAATAGAAAGAACTTTGTTTCACAGAGTACCTGGAAAGACAGAGGAAAGGGTTACATAGGAATCAGGGGAAAAAAAACCAGTTTAGAAATACTGCAGAAGGTTAATTCCCACCAAACAGAAACATTTTACTCTGATGCTGATGATGATGCCTTTTTTTTCTCAGGGACAAATCTCAGCCAGAAGTCTAAGTGAGACTAAGTAAGAAATTACTACTGTGAAATGAAGGCTCCTCTCACTGCTGCACTCATGCCTTCCTGGGATATACAGAGTTACCTGAGTAACTGTGACATTGAGTCTCACTCTCTGTCAATCTCCCTTTAAATATTTAATGATTTATTATGGTGTGGAACAACTTGAAAACACACTAATTAGAAAGAAAAATATCCCAACTTTCAAGCAGGTGCTCTACACTTTAAGCTAATAACTATACACGTATACAAACCAATTCTGAGAAGCCAAGGTCCAGCTGCTCTTCAGATAAGACCAACCTGCCCTGGCTACATCTGTACCATGGGAAAATCTGCACCTTTTACACTCCCTACACTCGTGCTGGAAGATCTGATCCTGAAGTATCCTGAAGATCCCGTCTGGGATGGAGCTGTGATAAGCTTTCTGGACTTACAGCATAGACTGTTATTTGATCCCTGCTGTCTGCTGTCCCCGCAGAGGGGTCAGCAAGAGGGCTGGACTGCAAGAGTGGAGTTAAAGCTGCAGCAGAAATTTGTACCTTAGATATCTGCTGACAGGGCATGACTGGCAGAACCTCAGTAGGACTGAAAGATAGCTTATAAATCTCTACATGCATATTAAATATTATCAAAGTAACATGATGGGTTTGACCTGTTTTGTTGCAACCCATTAAAAATCTGAGGTTTCATGTCTGTGCCACCCCCTTCTAATTACACACAACCATGTGATAGCTTATGAAAAAAGGTGACAAATCATAATTCATTTAAAAATATATGAAAATATACAAGGTCCATTAATGACATAAAAATAAAAAAAATACTTGCATTCATTTTAGTATCAAGAAAGACTATTCCATTTGTCAATAAGGAAATATTTCCAAAAGAACAATATTTTGCAGAAAATTGAATTTTTACATGTAATCACCTGAAAAGTTTATAAACCTTTTAATGGTTATAAAATGTTCAACATTCATTTTGCTAAAATGTTCATCAACTTTTCAACAACCTTCAGTCAGGCATGGTTATTTGTTTTCTCAAAAAGCCAAAGATTAAAAATATTCTGTTTGTTTTTTGTATTTCCAGGGTGCGATATTTACCCAAAGAAAATGTCACAGAAGGTGAGAATGGCACAATATCCTACATGTTGCCTAACGCTGCTAGTTTTGAACCTAATATGTCTATTGGGACAGAAAATGACACAGTGACCGTCCTCAACCTCGCTGTTGTAGTAAGTAAAGAAACAAAGCCATAATGTCCAGATACAAATGTTGAGCTACTGGAGGGAATGGGGGAGAAGTTCATAGAATCATAGAATGATTTGGGTTGGAAGGAACCTTAAAGATTATCTAGTACCCACCCTCCTGTCGTGGGCAGGGATACCTTTCACTGCAGTGTGTTCAAAGCTCTAAAAACATCCTCTTAGTCAATTTTAGCATGGGAGTAAATCAAGAGTTTGTGGATGGGTTCCCTTTGTGTGTGAGGTACAGCATGAACAGGACAGGGTGTATTTACTGTGCTCATTCCATAATACCCTCAGGTGTTGGCAGGGGATTGCACTGATTCCCACACCCAGAGTCTGCATGGTCCCTCAGAGCCGGAGCCCCAGGGTGCAGTCCTGGAGCTCTCCTGCCCTGCTGAGCATCACTTATCACAGAGGAGCACAGGGATCTTTGCCTAGAGGAGTGCTAGAGCCTTTCTAGTGCAGGTTATCACAGGCTGAGATTGTTTGCCTTCGACTAATATTTCGTTTCCATGCTTATATTGAGCTCTGGTTGTGTTTCACCAACTCTCTGGTGTCTGCTCAGGATTGCTGTGAGGTGTCTGCAAGGGGCAGAGTATGAAGCTGGTTGGTGCAAATACAAAATAGAACCATACCAGCAGTCACAGAATCACAGAGGAGCCCATGTTGGAAGGCAGTTCAGAAGATATCTGATCCAAGCTTTTGTGAAATTGTTGCTTGTAGCTATTCAGAAGCCCTTCTGGTCATGGTCCTGAGCAGCTGGCTCTCAGTGGTCCTGGTTGAGCAGGGGATGGACCAGATGGTCTCCAGAGGTCCCTGTGAACTTCAGCTGTTCTATCATTCTGTGATTATATCAGTGAACTCATGTAATCAGTCAAGAAAAATTGTCTGCTTTTGTGTAACTTATGGCCAGTAATTGTTCTGTTAAGAATTGTCAGTTTTATGTAGAAACTTACCTTCAAGGGAGTTGCAAATCTGGAAACTGGCTTTGGCAGACATTTCCTGGAGTCAGTCTCTGGATTTTTAACTCAATGCACATGCAGAATTTTATACTAAACATTGCTTTTGTTGCTGTTGTAGGCTGTACCTGCTGTGTTCCCAAGCGGTTTAATGCAATCAATAATAAACACTTGGGTTAAATCTTCCAACTCAGCCATTCTTCAGAACAGAACAGTCAAAGAAATACTGTGGGGATACACAGATCCCTTCCTAGACAAGGTCCCATTCCCCACTGTGAACCCAGTTGTGGGAGTCTTCTACCCGGTAAGTGAAACCAATGAGGAGGCAATGCCTTCAGAAGTCATTCTGTGAATGAAACTGAAGACAGCTGCTTTGAGGAAGAAAATATCAATTTATTAATTATTTCTAACTGTTATTCCTCTTGTTGCATCTGTTACAGTATAATGGGACAAGCGATGGGCCTTACACTGTGTATACTGGGACAGAAGATATTACACAAACAGCAGTAATTCAAAGCTATAAAAATAAAAGGTATTATAACACTGTAGAGTAAAAAAAATCCAACATTTTCAAGGTATGGCTTTTAAAACTCGATTCACCAGGAGCTATAGGTAAACGGAAAAAGCTTCAATGATTCAAAGGAAACAGGATCAAGCCCTGGGCTCAGCAAAACCATCACTTTCTTTCAGCTCTCAACAGTTCTGTTAGGAGCTTGGACTTAAGACATTTATTGATTCTTTGACACAATTTACTTCTGTTTTGCATTCTTAAGTAGATAGATTCCTTTTATCCTCTCCTAATGGCTCCTATAATTTTTCTGAATAAAGGAACATCTCTATCCTTTGCCTTTACTAACAAGTCAGGCTTATCCTGGAACAGTTATATTTGGTAATACAGGTAATTGAAGTGCTTACATGGTAGAATATACTACATGCTGCATGACTTTTATTTTATCTTACAGGACTCTTTCTTACTGGAAAGGTCACTGTGATATGGTTAATGGCACAGGTGAGCCTATTAAAGTTTTTGACACTTCAACACTTTTCTTGATATTTCAAAGGAATAATGAGATACAGTATATAAATTATCTCCCCTAGGCTTTGCCAGTTCTGTATTTTGTATATTAAGTATATATATGTATATATATGTAGATATACTTCTACTATAATATATGCATATGTGTGTATCTATTAAAATATATTAATTCCTACTGTATATCATTTTATATACTCATGAACACAGCCTCTACATCTAGAGTAAATGTGGAAGAGAAACAAAATTATCCAGTTCTCTTGTTTCTACTAATTATTTCCATAGTACAATATAATTAAGATTATTTTTCTTTTCTATAGCAGTTGAAAATGCTCTTGGCATTTTAATAATTTACATTTATTTACACTGCTGAAAATTTAATTAATTGCACCAGAATGGACATCCTGAGATATGAAAAGAAATTGAGGCAACAAAGGAGGAGGCTGTCAGATGAATGGCTTGTAGATCACTAGAAAATGAAAAGGGATGAAGAAGTATAGACTGGGATGAATAGACTATAGACAAATATTTTTGAATTTTCTTTTGGAATACATAGGTAAACAGCTGAATTGTTTAAGATACATTTGTTCAAGGTGCTGTTTTTCTTTTTAGTTAGTGAAAACATTGCTGTGAGGACACCACAGTCTGTGGAGCTGAGGCTGGCAGGTGTCTTGGTGGAGGCTTTTGCAGAGAGCTCCAGACCTTCAGTAAATGAAGGTGTTTGTGTTGGATTGTTTTGTATGGGTTTTTTCCCTCCATTTTCCATTCTGCTTTACCTGGCATAGATACTTTTCCTTATAACCCAGATTGTGCAACAAGGTATTTTGTAGTATTTAAAATACATCACAAGAATCTGATTTTCCAAAGATCTGTGAGCCACGAAGGATTAGTTCCTTTTTAAATTATGTAATTAGTTTTGTAAGAAATAGTATTTTCTTACATTCTAGGACTTCTCTTCTTTCTTATGGGGCCTGGGGGCCTGGCATTTTTTTTTAGCCAGGGTCAGCTTTTTGTTTGTTTTTCTTCTGTAACTGATGGAATAAACATATGCCGCTAACTAATTAAGTGCTCCAGTCCAGTGAGCACAGTGAGCAAAGATTGCTGCATATTTTACAAGGGCATTCAGTGTGACACTGCTGTATTTGGAGATGCAGCAGGTTTAAAAATTCTTGTAAGTGTGAGAATTTTACCTTATCTTGAAAGCTTTCACACAAAAGCTCAACATGTATAGTATAAGAAAATAAATAGTTAAAAATCTGAAACAGTAAACTTGTAGGGGGCTTGACATGAATCCATGTTTACCAACCTTACAAGAATGCCAAGATTTGGAAACAGAATGTGTGCTTAGGATGATCTTGAATCTTTGAAAAAAAGTGCTTCTGTCAGCAGTGGGCAAGTGGCAGTATTTAGCCTTGGTGCTCTTGCCAACTGGATTCAAAGATATCACAGATGTTTGCAATTGTTTGGTTATGGCTGCTGCCTAAGAAACTAAACAGAAATTGTCACAAAAACTAACAAATGTTAAAATGGTTAAAGGTTTGTTACAACTCCTTAATTGGGAAAATGCCAGAGGCTCCTCTTACATAACTCTGGGTTCTTGCAATGCAGAAATACAAATCTGGGTGTCTTCACTCTTTCAGACCAAGTGGGGAGAACAACACGAAAGTGCTACTCTTCTGACTTTTTTTTGCATATCTACCAGAGGTCAGGTGGATTTTGCTCTAAAAGTGGCTTCCTCCTTTCCATTAGTTCTAGAAGGACTCAGCTTAGAGGCTCACTTGACCAATCCTTTGTGGACAAGGATTAGCATTGATTATTAAATAGTCAGTGTTGGAGTCTAAAGCTGTGTTTCTTGTAAGTGCTGAATGTCATAACTGCGAGCAACTCTAGGAATATTTAGGTCTATAGTCTGCATGAGCCTTGAGGGAATGGCACCAGGTTTTTTGGCTTCATATTAAGCAGAATTTTTTTTAATATCCTCAGTTTTAAATGGGCTTGATCATATAGCTTCACATCTGGGGGCAAAAAAAAAGGCTGCTATAGCTTGGCTTGTTTTCAAAAACTATCACAGCTTATCTGTGAAATGCCTGTCAATGTGCAATAACTTACATAAATATTTTCCCCACAAATGACTCATACTGTTTACTTTTGTCACAGATTTACAGGAAAGTAACAACTGCGTATTGAGCTAGAAATTAAATTGTGTCTTCTCAGTAGAGTAGCTTTCAAGCTCTTGATTTTTTTCACAGATGGAGCATCCTTCCCACCATTTGTTAAGAAGCATCAGGTGCTACGCTTCTTCTCCTCCGATATTTGCAGGTAGGGCTGCTCCCTTCCTGGAGTGTGTTCACACTGCCTGTGCCACTGAATGCTCTTTGTTTTCAGAGGGCAGCTGCAGTGGCTGTGCTTGGGCTCAGGTGAAACATAAACTTTCCATCTAAAACACAAGTAAAGTTGTGTGTTGTGCTCATGATTCAGAGCCTGGTTCTACCACTTTTATGTTAAGTAGCAAGCTAATACAATGTACTTTATTTTAGCCAGTTACAGATGTATATTCAGGAAAATGTGTCATTGTGAGCTGTTAGGGCCACCGGGTTCAAAGTCTTGAACTTATTCTAAGATCAGGACCCGGCCTTGTTTGGTCTAAGAAGGCAACAGGTACAGCAGGGTCCAGTTAGGTCCAGATTTGGCATGTCTAGAAAAAAATCATCTATGCAGAACAGTGTTTACTCTCATTCAATAGATACTAAATGTTTTTTTTCTCACGGGATATTTTTTACATATTTTATTTTTATGTATTTACAAACAAACAAGCCTGCTTAATACATTCCGTGCTGATGACTTTTAAGGCTGCTGCTTCTGATGGGCTATCCAGTGTCCCCAGGTCCTCCAGTGGGATCACTGAAAGAAATGTTAAAGATTTAAAGTGCATCCCAGTGTATTTACTTTGGGAGGTTCAAACCCTTTATTTTGCTGCCTGGAAACAGATGCTTCCTTTTTACTAGGTTTAAAGTAGGCCATTTGCTTTGCAGTGTTTGTTTTCAAAGATCAGTGTTTTTATATGAAGTTAGAGGTTTGTTGTTTTTTTTTTGTGAAGCAATTTTATCCACAAACATTTCCCAATTCATAGAAAAGGGAATTCTAAGCAGGGGAGAAATGATAATATTCTTTGGATTGATTGCACACACAGTTTGAGAGATCCCTCCGGCCATTTAATTGTCACAATTCATGAACAGTAAAGGACAACAGCAATTGCCAAAGGTCCTGTAGAAGCAGGGTCAGGAAAAATCGTTCTGTCCATGTTTCAAAACCCTTCTTTTATTTGGCTACAACACAAAGTGTTGGTGTCCTGATTACATTACTGTGTAGCAACCATATCTCTGTATCAGCTGATAATGCATTAGCAAAAAGAAGCTTAAGTAGTATTCTAATTCATATGCAATGGAATAAGGTTATGTGCAGGGTGTTGTCTGCATAATAAAGCTTGGGTTACTATGAGGTCAGCAAAAAACTATATATAAAAGGTGCTTTATATGGATAAGCATCCCTACTTGGAGTCCAGAAACCTTAAAAAACCTCATAATTACTGCAGGTGTAGCTTTATGTAGGGAAAAGAGACCTCAATTAATTTGTTAGTTTTGTCTATATTGTTTATTATTAGTATTTGAACATTTTTCTGTTTAGTGTATTGGCATGCTCGCCTCTGAGCTTGTACATCTCTTTTGTGAAGGTGTGGAATATTCTCCACTGCAGAGCAGCACCCCTGCAATTCACTGAGCAGTGTGGCAGGAGCCTGGGCATTGGGTCCCTGGGGGGGTTGTTTCTTTTAAGAGAGAGGCAGCTGGGGGATCCCAGAGTAGCATTGCCACAAATTTAGACTTTTGATCCAAATGGCTGAAACCCATTTCTCCTGTCTTGTGCTCAGATCAATCTATGGAGTTTTCTATGGCAAGCAGGTTGTGAAGGGAATCACGCTCTATCGCTTTGTGGTTCCTCGTGAAGCATTCGCATCGCCAGCTGAAGTCGAAGACAATTACTGCTTCTGTACAGATACAACAATATCAGAGAACTGCACGTTAGCTGGAGTCCTGGACATCAGTGCCTGCAAAGCAAGTATGGTGGTGACACAGTACTGCCACACAAGCCATTTAACCGGGGACAAGGGACTTGTCCTGTAGCTGGGGTGTTACTCAGATATCCAGGATGTTTGTCTGTGAATTCTTCTACAGGTTGCTTGTGAGACCCCTCACATTTCTGAAGCCTCATGGCCCAAAATGAGGGCTATGATATTTCTGTATTTTGCATAGTGCTATGCAAAGTCGGGATACCATAGATTGTGTACTGAAAGTGCAGGAATGTGCGTAGAGAAAGGAAAGGAGGGACACTGTGTAAAAGCCAGAGACAGTTCTGCACCTTGGGTCTGTGGCAATTCACACACAGCAGGGGTGGGCATGTAGACAACTGTACAGGCAACACTGCCTTAGTGTGGTGTAGGTAAAAGGAATATAAACTGAGTCTGCATTTGGTGCAGAGTGAGCTGCAAGAGGTCCCTTCGGGGTAAAACAAGATCCTGAAGGTGGGGGGAGACAGTGACAGCCACATCCTCACCTCAGTGTGAAGCTGGGAGCACTGCCAGCTCCACAGTGTAGACACAAGACAAGCAGGATTTGTAACTGCTGTTTATTTCACTATACAAATTTTCCTCATGACAAAAAAAATAAGTCACAAAAATGCTCGAATTTTGGGGTTTGTTTTTGGTTTGGGGTTTTTTTTAGGTTTGTTTTTTTTTTTTCAGGTGATGTGGTTAGACTATTAACATTTTTATCAGGATTGTATATCTGTGTAGCAAAACTATGTTTGAAAATAACCTGTGAAGATGAGTGCCAAAGCAAGGCTTAATGATTCAAGAGAGTTTGTGTTTTTGTTTCAATAGAAAGACCGGTGTATATCTCTCTTCCTCATTTTCTTCATGCGAGTGAATCTATACTGAATAACGTGGAAGGCCTGAGTCCAAATGAAAAGGAGCATGAGACATATCTAGACATAGAGCCTGTAAGTCCAAGTATTTAATATTTGTACCTTGGGAAACTTACAGTGTTTAAATTTAATAATAGAGTTGTCCTTTCACCAGAGGGACAAGCAGAAGATTCAGTATTTTCATGCTTGCTTTTCTAAGGTCTGCCCTCAAAGTGGTCTGGTTTCAGCAGGGGAAATTTAGAGCAGAACTTTATCTCATTTTGACCTTCAAAATTTGGAAAATCTGTTTTGACTTTTACTTACTGGGAACATGGGATTGAATCTGCAAACTGTGAAATATGTTGTAGCTTTTCTATGATCTTCAGGAACTTTGAGAAAATTATATTCTATGTAACTTCTGTTTCCTCTACTTTAATTTTAAAAATTTAAAAATTCTGTTTCCTTCCTTTAATAATAATAATAAAAATCTATAACTAACTATATTTGGATAATCACTATCTCAATTGAAACAAAATAAACATAGATGAATTTATTTCCAATTGCTAGAACTCTGAATAGTCTGATTTAAATAGACCTAATTTAAGTCGTTGTGACTTGAATTGTCCAGCAGATCTCCCAAACAGAATGAATTTATTTTGACTTACAAATTTACCTCTATTTTTGTTTCAGTGATTCAGATCTTTAACTTTAAGTGTACTTACCAAAGTTTTCTAAATTGTATGATGAATTTGAGGATTCCAAATTTCTATTTTGCTCTTACTTTGAATGAAAAGGTAAAATTGATAATTTCTAAATTATCAATAAATTCTAAATAATTTATTTCACTAAAATTAGGTAGTTAAGCTACGTAACTTCAGTGGGGAGAAATGAAGTTAAATCTTTGTTTCACTTTATTTGGAATAGAGACATCAAACAGATTTTCCTAAATATTACAGAAAATTTTCAAGAATCACGCTTTTTTTTTTTTGTGAAAGACAGTAGAAGAAAGATATGAAGAAAATATTTGATCTTTGTATATATGTTTGTCCTGATGTGAAAGGTTTGTTTTTCCCCTATGCATTTCGAAAAAGAAAATTTTGTTGATTTTTGGTGGGGAAAAAAACCCCGAAGCATATTTTTATATTAAATATACCATGACTGATTTAGTGGTTTTTAACTTTGTCTTCAGGTTTAAATTTAAATTTCAAAGGTAACTATGGTAAAGCCACAAAATTAGAACTTCTATGAGAAATGAGAAACCCTTAGAAACATTACCATTTCATAAAAATTAATCCTTCAAAACATAAGGATAAAATAATCCCAAAGGGCTTTTTGAACAGTCCATATTATAGACTTTGGCACCTAATTAAGAAATTTAAATTAATGTTTTGTTGGATTTTTTTCACTGGTTTTAGGTGACTGGTTTTACACTACGATTTGCAAAAAGGCTGCAAGTAAACCTCCTTGTGCAACATTCAAAATACATTGAGTAAGTTCTTCTTCTTTATTTTTTTTTAAATAATTTTTAACTGGGCTGATTGTTCCATGGGAGCATCACTAGAAATGTCGTGGAGAAGAAGGAATAGAAATACTTTCCCAAAGTTTTTTCAGAGTAAATCTTCCTGAGCAGGACACTGCCCGAGTATTTTAACACACATTTGATTTCCCTACAGCAGCTTACAAGGCAAAATGTTCTTAAAAATAACTTCTTATAAAACCCAAATGGGGCTTATGAGGATGAACAGACAAACTGTATTTTCTGTACTAAATCCAATAAGAAAGAGAATTTATGTATTCCTTGTCAGTAGATGGTTTTATCAGAAGGGTCAATGGGTCTCTAGCTGCTTTTTTTTTTCCTCTTCATTGGCCTAAATGTACACGGATAAACATACCTTTGGAATCTTGGACATATGAACACCACACAGATCTTCAACCCTCTCTGTGTCTGACTGCCCCCATACAGAAGATTAAACAGAAAATAATGGTTGCCCAATATGTAAAATGGCTGTTATTAATTGCAGTTTTAGTTTGGTTTGGGTTTTTTTCACTCCAAAAGTGTATTTAAAAGGTACATCTGGAAACCAGAAATATAGTTAGAGGAGAAGAAAAATGTTTAATAGAGAGTGGGCTTATGTAGCAAATTAAAAGTAACATGCTCTACTTTTTTTCTCATTTCAGGCCTTTAAAAAAAGTTAAAAAATCCTATGTGTTCCCTCTTCTTTGGCTAAATGAGGTTAGCATATTTTTTGTCTATTAATATTCTCTGTTTTGAAACAAACGAATAAACAACACAACTACCTAGCTTTTTCATTCTTGGTGCCCTGAAAATGGGTAATTAAGCTCATGCTGTGATTTGCACCACACCAAGAGTGTATTTGGCAAGTGAGTGCTTGCATATATGCCTTTCACTGATGTTTTTCCTGCACTGTTTCAGTCTGCTGTTATTGGGGATGAGAAGGCAGAAATGTTCAGAACCAAAATCTCCAGTCGGCTCGAGCTGCTGAACATGCTGCAGATGGGATTGTTAATCGGAGGCTGTGTCATGTTCCTGGCCTTCATTGGGTCCTACTTCATATGCAGGTCACAGAAATTGAAATAAGTAAGTAAACACTGAACGGCTGTGACCCCAGCAGTGACTTCTCCTCGAGTTTTCAAGAGTTCAGAATCATTACCTATTTCTCTGTTTTACATGCTAGAAAATTTAGCAGTTGTTCTGTAGGAAATCATCCAGAGAATTGGTCTAATATTTTCAAGTTCTCTTCCCATCCTAAATCCTTCAGAATGCTCTTGACTCAGGGGAGGGGATTGGAAACTACATCAGAAGAACATTTTTGTTTGTTGTGAATTCTTTAAAATCAACATTTTGTCCAAGGCTGTTAAACTGCTCAGAAGTGTCCTCTAGCACCTTTCTGAGACAGAGGCCCCATAGCTGCAGATTGCTGTGCTCTCCCAAGACATCCCCTGCCTGATGTTCTGAGAACCCATTGTAAGTGACACTTTCTATTGAGTGCTGGTTTCTCACTTCTTTCTCTCAGTGGTGCAGCACTGTAATGTTAGTCTGAGCACCTCCTGGACATACCTAGCCCACAGAGGCAAATATACTCCCATCAGGGGCAGACTGGCCAAGGGGTGGATTAATGTGCTGATACCTGGGGAAGCAAACACATTTTTGGAGTTATTTAAAAGTACAGAGACATGAACATTGTGGTGAAAAGTATGCTATACTAAAGAGTTATTCTTAAACTGAAGACTTACCTCACCATATGCTGAATTCTGATTTTATTTCACAACAGGTGAAAAGACTTCAGAGGCAGACAATGTTTAATTGAAATTTCAGCTAAGCAGCTTGTTAAAATTCAGAGACAAAAGGTATGATTCAAGGCACAGTCAATCCATGTGCTGTGGAACTCAACATGTTTTTCCATTTTGAGAAGACCAGCTTACTAACCCAACTAAGCTGGTGTTTTTCAAGATCCACACTTCTGACATCTCTAAAGAGGCCGCTGTGGAAACTACGCTATCAAAAGACTTTATTTGAAACTTGTTATACATTTTAAATTGCATTCAAGCAGACTGAAGTTGAGGTGCAGTTGGATTTTAGTCCACCTTCTGCCATTTATGCAACTTGCTACTCATTTTCTTCTGGATTTGCAAGAAAAATGAAAGCTGCTTGCTGATGCTCGTCTCTGAGCACAGGCTGGGAATGACAACAATTTGGAACTCATGCTGTGCTCTAGATGCTCTTATTGCAATACTTCTCTCTGTTCCTTCAAGGAATGGAAGCTGCTGCAATAGAACTGCTCTCTGTCCTCTATTCAGGGATGTGAATTGCATTGAATGTGAAGTTTATTATATAAAGTTACTAACTGTAATATATGAAGTTTATAAAAGACTTACTAAAATATGTGGTTCATACATTTTATATTTTTATATGGAGATGGCTCATAGATAGACCACAGTCATCCACATGTTGATGGAGCTCGTTGACATTTGGCTCCACAGCTTTTTATTAATCAGAACCACTCCCTAACTCCCAACCTGCTCCACTGCTCTTCCTGTTGCCTCCTGTGAGCTTTTTTTTCTGGCTCTTGTTTGAACACCAGCCTCTGCTCTGCCCTAAGCCCACTTGGCCCAAGGCCTCCCTTGGAGAATGATCTAATATGTAACCTGACAGGACAAGAGAAAATATTCCAAAATGCTTCAGAGACAGGAAAGACCAAGATAATGATTTTGATCAAACATCAGAGAATTCCACTTGCTATAGAAGCACATAAATGAAAAGAGGTAGCCCAAATTACTTACTGATAAACCATCTGCCACAAGGAAATTTGTGCAACCATTTGTTTAATGAGGTCCATCAGCCTGTAGCAAACACTGACATCTCCATAAATAGTTGAGTTTATCATTTGATCTGAATGCTGTATTTTATTCTAGAGTAAATGGGGCAAATAGTGTTGCAGGGTCTCTTATTTTTCCATGGATTCAATAAATTCAGAACAAGAGCCTAAGTTCAGTATTTTCTAAGATTTCTTTTTAGATCTTTTATTCCCTTATTTAAGAGCTGCAAAGAAAAAGGGAAATCAAACATGGCCAGCCTGTTTGTAAACAATACTATAATGGACTTTAAACCAGAAAGGTTTATCTTGCTAATAAAGGACAATGTCTCTGCCTGGGTATCTTTAGCAAGATGTTCTTACCTTTGGAAATAAAGGGAAAATCCAACTGACTATAACACTGGTGGTTTTATTCCATTGTTCCTCGAAAAGGACAAAGTTTTGTAGCTATCAGTAGGGCTGATGAGTCACAGAAATCCCAAGACATTCTTCTTGAAGGTGAGGTCTGTGAGGTACATGGTGCACTCTCCTTCCAGCTGTGAGCTGGAGCTGCCAGCTACCAGGGCAGCTGGTGTGGCACTCGAGGAAGGGTTTGCTCTCAGCCCGTGTATTTGATTACTCATGGTGCTGGCTAGTCAATGAAAAACACCTTTCTCTCATATCCACATTATTACTGGTGTCATATGTGATGCTCTGTTCCCGTGTTAGTCTGGGGACAATTTGACACAACTGAAGCCATCCCTAGAGTCCTATGGACTGGTCAAAAAAGTGTGAGGACAGATAAAGTCATTAAGCCACATCTCCTCTGAGATAAACACAGCTCTGCTGTGGTTCAAGATCTGACACCAAATTTTTATAATAAAATGTCTTTAGTGTCAGGATCTGACATGAAAGGAGCAACAGCAGTGCTCCTGTAGTTTTTGATATGCTAACATTTCAGCTTCATTTTATTTTATTTCAAGTACATGGTCAGCAAGTTAGTGTGTGTTTTACTAGTGTTGTTTATTGCTATGTGGTGCTCCAGCAGCAGTGATCCAGCAGGTCAGGCCGTGATTTTAAATGTCTCAGGGCCAAATTTTATATGGACACAACTATATGTTTGCCCATATGCATAATCTCATTGATCTCAATGCAGGTTTGGGCTTTTTGACTATGTCCAGCATCTATATTGCACTTGAATTGTAATTTGTAGCTACTTTATCCAAAGCATCAGTTAGTTATTGTTAATTCATGATACTAAGGCTCATACTAAGTATTTACAGTTGTTCAAACTGTGCAGGGGAAACTTTCATTAGAAACGTTAATGAAAATGCAAATAAAATAAAGCTCAATTTTTTTTCTGATATACTTATGTTTAATTGTAAATAAAGCCTTCTGTGTTGAATAATGAAGTTCTTTTGTCTCTTTTCTTTGTATTTTGGAGTATGTTTTCTTTTTCTAGAAACTGATTTTATAAATTGGTGAGTAACTGAGGCTATGGCTAATGTTGTTAAATCATTTTGCTCTGGCACGTCACAGCTTCCTAGAAAGGCATGTTGCTGTGGGATACATTAGAAACATCAGTGGCATACAACATTTATTGTCTCTGTTGGTCAGAACCCAGTGCTAATAACAGCAATGTTGTGCATTTGATCCCTGTGTGGGGAATTCATTAAAGAGTTGGATTCGATGATCCTCGTGGGTCCCTTTCACCTCAGAATATTCTTGATTCTGTGATTTATGCTCTGGGTCACAACAAGGAGAAGACTTTGTGGAACAAGGTAAGCACCACCATGTCTAAACTGAAGCAATTGTAAAACAAGCCCAGGAAGCCAAGCTTGGAGCTGTTTCCAAATCCCTTGAGCTGGACGTGCTGGCACACACACACGTGCTGTTGGCACATCCAGCTGCACAGCACACACAGCTCTGCTTCCTGCCTCTGCTGGCCCAGCAGGTTGGGTGGGAGGCAAGGCTGCCTTTGCTCACTTTCCCCACCCAGCCCAGGTCCTTATGTGTGAAAATTGCTGGTTAAAGTCAGATCTGACCGACGATCTCACAGCCCACACACTTACACCCCGGGGCAGGTGTGCTAGCTCTTGATCTCTAACTGCAATCATGCATTCAAAGCATGTGTTAAAACCTGTTCTTCCCATCTGGCCTACTACTGTCAAGGTAATATAAACATCTTACTATACCCTGAAAAAGACAGAAAATTAATGCCTTCTATGTTCTTTTAACTGTGAGAGTAGGGAAGGGCTTGTTTTATTCATGGGTGTACACATCAGCATAATAATTTTTAAAAAATTAACAACTAATAAAATATGTTTACGGTTTTGTTTTTTTTTTTTTTCTCAGTAGCCATATAAAAACAGAAACCAGAAAGACAAATGACTTGTACATACCAAATGCAATCCGAATTTATAAATAAATGCTATTCATTTTCCATTCTCTGTTTTCTTTGCCTATCAGTTGGCTCTGATGCTCTGTGGTTTCACCCTCTCCCAGCAGTACCTGAAGCAGGCAGGGATTTACAGCCCTCCCAGCCAGCACCAGGCTGGGACCTTTCTCAGTTCTATTTTGTAAGAAGAGAAACCAAATGCTTTGCAGCCGGCGCCACCCAAAGGGCATCCGGATTCTTACAAGGTCTCTTGCTTCACCTTAGCACAGGCAGTCAAAAATTATGCTGGCTATAATTGTTTTGCTACCTCTTCCAGTTAACATCTCCAAATACAACACTTTTAAAGCAGTATAACAAAAAGTTCATCATAAGTGTCTTCTAGATAACAAATTGCTGAATGCAGGATAAATTTTAATGGCCATTAATATTCTGGAGTGGTTTACTAAGAGCAGGGTTTCCTTTAAGTTCTATAAATTGATGATTTTACAAAATACATGGTTGATATAAGTAGGCCCACCCAAAGTTTCCAGGACTCTACTTCTTGCCCAGCATCCCTTGTGTAGCACCAAGGATGTGTGGACAAATCAGGAATTACAGAGAGCTCTGTGCATACTCTTTCATGTGACTTAAATCTGCAATTTTAACTTTACCAGGACATCAATGCATAGGACTGGGAAAGTCACATTTTTGCTGTTACGTTGCCCTCATAATTTTTCCAGCTGGAACGCCCCCACGTGAATGCTCCTGAAGTTAAATTTCTTGATTGATACTTTCATGATAGGAACTAAACCCAGCAGTAGAAGTTAAAAGCCTGCTGGAGGTGTAGGTACTCTTGGGTACAGACATTTCCTGTGTTTTTAGCAGAAATGTGGAAGCATTTCCTTTTCCATCCTTTCACTCCACAGGTGTAACTGTCTTTATGCTGGTCAAACACTGGGTCTATTTTGTAAAATCAGAAGTTATCCCTACAGTGAAAGCACCCCCTCCACAAACATACACTTGTTGTTGCATCAGGAGCTACATTTAATTTGGCAGTCTTGACAAACTCAGCCTGGGTGTCTTCAGCAGGAGAAAATGAAGAACAGTATTGACATTCACAGAGTAACTCTGACAGAAAACAAGAAGAAAAAGGTAACCAGAAGCTACTAATTACTTCAATTTTTCCTATGAGCAGTGGGAATACACTAAGAAGAACTTCTGGCAAAGCATATACTTTAATTCAATGACAAATCAGTGCAGTTAAGAGCTTAATTCAGGAAATCTGTTCCAGTAGACATCTAATCTTCCAGGCAGCAGACAAAGACTTCTCTGAACACCCAGGAGCCTCACCTGCTTGGCTGAATGGATGTACATACATGTCATCTTGGTACAATCCTGAACAAGTCAAATAGACTTACACAATTTTTCTAGCAGTAAGAATAAATTAATGGCCAGAGGTATCAGCCAGAATGTGCAGTATGTGCGTTCCAAAAGCTCCTATTCTGATGTGAATCCATTTGGATTACACTAACTCAGATGAAGAATATGCTATAGTTGAGGTTATTCTTTCACATGAAACTAAAGTCCTAGAGGAACATTATTTTTAATCCACAAAGATGAAGGGTGTTTTGGCTCTGTTTGGATACTGGTTGAGAGATAGAGGACTTTTTTTGGCTGGTTTTAATTTTTAATAGGTTAGAATCAGAAGTAGTCAAAAACCTAGGGCCAGAAACTCTTGATCTGCCTTTCTATCCTGGTGCAGAACCTCTTAACACAAGTGCTAAATGCATCTTCTCCTCAAGGAAGGAGTGTTGGGATTGTTGTTCTCTTTAAAAGAGCTGGGCAGTTGTTAGTTGCTATAAAGTTGTTTATTGTAAAGGCGCATCAGTGTCAAAAGGCAAAAAGTCCAGAGCGTTAAAGTCCATGCCAAAAGCTTTTGGCATAGAGTCACAGACAGAAGTAAAGTCCTGATTAGAAGCAGAAGCAGCTCCTGGTGCAAAGCCCCAGGAGGGCTGAATTTGCAGCCTGGTACAGAGTCCTGAGCAGAGACAGAGGCTGCAGCCAAGTACAGAGTTCCAAGAGGCAGATGCTACCTTTTTGTTAATTTATTTTGTTCTTTTATTCTTGTTCTTCTTCTTCATATGGGTGTAGTGATGATGGTGATGGTAGAGGAAGAGAGAGCAAGAGAGAGTGAGAGAGAACAAGAGAGCTGTCACTCCAATACATGGATTCTTATTTATAAATTACCCAATGAGCTACAAACACCAATCTAAAGCATTTCTTCTAAACCTACTTGAATTCTCGTTTCTTAGTACAAAAGTTTATGTATAAACTATGCATATGGCCTATCTGCTCTATCTGAAATATGCAAACAATATTCTTACTATATTTTTATTATGTCTAAAACTATGGTTTTGAATTCTCGCTGAAACTTGTTTTTAAGACTTGTTTTCTACACTGATGTCTAAGGCTTTTACTTTTTAAGGCACTTAAAACATATTCTTACTTATTTAAACTTACTTGCTTACTTACCTAAAATTTAAACTTACACCTCTATTTCATATATGAGTGGTTCAATATACTTCAATGCATCCAAAGGTTTTAATTCAAACCCTGCATTTTGATCTCTCTCTGAGGAACTCAGAGAGACCTCTGTTTTTCAGACTCCAACAAAGGAGAAAGGTGGATCAGTTCTTGGAGTCCAGATGATCTGTTTCTTAGAACACCATATTTTATGAATCCAGATGAAATACAGAGTTTACCCTGTTGTTTCACCTGAATTCCTTTCTGGAGCCAAGCACCCTGTAGGAATTGGAGCACCAACTATCAAAACATTTAACTTCTGCTTAAGGCTGCTTTCACCCCAAAGGGGGTATTCTGTCTGGAATTCCTGAGTGAAGAGGCTGGTGGTCCCTGAAATTTTACACAAAAATAAAGAAAGGCAAATATACACAGATGGTTCAGCATGGTAATGCTTCATGCCACTGTGAAAACTTTCAAGAGTGTATTTAACTCAAATTCATCTGGTAAGAGAGTCCTGCA